TCCAAAGAGCAGACGTGGTGTACGCCAATACCACATGAGAGAAAGGTGTCGACCGTGCGAGCCTTCTACAAGGAGTTTCACGATGTGGACACTTTGCCAATACGGACTTGCATGCTGTGCTACCGTAAGCGCACGAAAAAAGAGTTGAGAGATGTGACATGGGACCAATGGATGTCGAGCTGCGTCGAAAAGGACAACCGTTCGCCATTTTCATGTCGGAGCTGCTTTCCCGTGGGCGAGACCTTCTCGGCATGTGGAGAGTGCGGTCGTTGCTTGAGGCGGGGTGTTCTGTCGCCTGCGGCCCAGCTTCACAGACGTATTGGGTGTGAACATATGTTTCCCGAGGAGCTGAAGGGCCTCACGCCGGTTGAGGAGAAGCTGATCGCGCTGAACTCATGTTACGGGTTCGTCACAAGGTACAGCATTGCGAGTAGCCAGAAGCAGAGTGCCCGGTATCCGAAGCACATCAAGGGCCACATCACGGTGTTCCCCAACAATGTGCAGGAGCTGGCCACAAAAGTGCTTCCCCACCCGCTCGTCCAAGTGATAGAAGAGATCCATGTCTCGTGGCAGGGTGCGGAGAAGCCAGCACCAAGCGACCTGTCAGGTTTATTGTCGGTGAGGCGACGAGTCGTTGAGAGGGCCCTCGTCTGGCTGAAGAAGAACAACCCGCATTACGCCGAGATCGAGATTGACGCGGCGGAGATGGAGAGCTGGGGCGCGCCGCCGCATGGGGTGCCGCCGCTGGTGTACGATCGCATGGAACGGAATGAGCCAACAGCATGGGAAAAAACGCGAACGGCGCAAATTGTTCCTCCAACGGAGCGTGGCATGGACGACGAGGGATCGTTGGAGATCGAAGAGGTCCTCGCTCGTCTTAACCGAGGAGAAGACATACCCAGCGGCGACACCCAAGGGCCGGGGCTGACCGAAGACGAAGGTGGCCACGGGAGCGAGGCCGAGTCTGGTCAATTGGGAAAATCGATCAACGAAGTCACATCATCGGGTATGTTTGCCCTGGACGGACCGCCGGATGTAGCCGATGTGGAGAAGCTCTTGTTTGCCTGCAATGCCGTGAACGGGGATACGGCGGTCGGGGGAGCCAAAGCGGGCCCGACAACACGGGTGGAATCGGTGGAATCGGCGGAGATACGGACAGGGCCTGCTGACGGATGTGAGCCATACATTCACGTTTCTCGGGGCGACGAATTCGCTGACACATTCGATGCCTCGTTCTTCGCGAAGACGTTTCCCACGCTATTGCCCTTTGGCGTCGGGGGGCCACGGTTGGTGGAAGAAGCTGCCATAAGCGTGGGAAGAGGTGCCGATATGCGCGGAGCAGAGGCGGCGGCGCAAGACCTCGTCTCGTCCCGTAGCATGAGTCTGCGAACGTGGGCCGACATCACGCTCCAGCGCCATGGTGGCCGATTTGCGACCCACCACATCTTTGCATTCCTTGTGTTCAACATGAGTGTACGGTCGAGGAACCGTCGCGTCAGCATGTTGAGCGTAAAGAGGAAAGATTTCCGCAAGATAGAGCGCATAGTACGGTCGCTCTCGGCTGACAGGTTAGCAGCGGCAAGGATCGAGTTGGAGAACTCAGGAAAAACGACTGACGAGGGTGTGAAGGAGCTTTTGAGAAGTCTTTCCTTGTACGGCTTCCGCCAGCCTATGTCCAGAGAAAATCGCTTGAGTATGCGGCGGAAGATACAGTCGCTTGTTCTTCGTCATGGCGTGCCGGCGATCTGGTTCACGCTCAATCCAAACGATATTACGAACCCGGTAAAGCTGCGACTTGCAGCATACCGCACCAGCGAGCCTGACGCGGCCGAGGCTTTCCTGAAGAGCCTTGGCATGTCGTACAAACGCCTGCGGCTGGCCATTTCGGACCCCATGAGCTCGGCCATCTTCTTCCACCGGGAGATGACGTTGTTCTTTGAGCATTATGTCAAAGTGGGAGAGGAGTCGGTATTCGGGCGCATCATCGACTATTTTGGTGCTGTCGAGACCAACGAACGAGGGGCGCTTCATGTCCACGGGTTGCTTTGGTTGCATGGAAACGCGCACTTGAGTTCGATGATTGCCGATATCGACGGCGAAGACCAAGCAACGTACCGTGAACGTATCATCCAATACATAGATAGTGTCTTCTCCGAGGTACAGTATGGCCCTAACTAGGCATGTCATTGAAGAAGATGCAGCGGTCGGGGCGGGGGCCAAAGCTGACATACCTATGAGGTAGGACTTGGACCAGGAAGGGTATTGCACCCTCCAAGCGGAACGGTCGGTGGCATCGGACATTTCCTCCCTGCTTGACAACAGGGAGCAATTTTCGGCCGCATTTGACGAGGAAGCGAATTTCTGTGCCGGTGCGACACAGATCCATACTCACAGCCCAACTTATGTCAAGTACTCCTTGAGCAAGGGCAAAGGAGGAGGAAAGAGGCGTGGCCTTTGTCGATTCCAGGCGCCATGGAGACTAGTCGAAAAGACTGCCTTCACGGCAGACGGCGTGTTGCAAATTCGAAGGAGGCATAGCATGGTGAATCGGTGGAACAAGGCCATGGCCGTGGGGCTTCGCCACAACCATGACATCTCCTTCATAGCGACGCAGCGGAAGACCATGGCCCTCATCTATTATGTCACAAATTACGCGACGAAAGTGGAGGATCCGGTGTGGAAGCGTGTGGCCGCCGCGGCAGAGCTCTTGACCACATCAACGGGTGAAGGGACGGCCAACGGATGGGGGAACGGTGGAGGAGGTGCTACCGATGACGCCGTCAAGGGA